TTTTATGTTGCCTGGATTACTTGGATTCAAACTGCTTTCATGGCCATACACATCAAATATAAATTCTATATCGGTGTGAAGACCGTTCAAGCCACTCTGATGACCACCTTCTGAGGCCCCAAGAAGTTCCACGACCAGGTGGATAAGGAGTGCCAAGGATTTGGACTCCTGCAGCTGCTCTATGCATCCCTGGTCAGTCATTAAAGTATAATCTGCCCTCAGCATTAGTTCGATGCTAGTCCAGTCCTTTCTGACTGAGGTTTCTTGTAACCTATTCACCACTAAAAGGGATAATCTCACAATAGGAGGCATCTGTGAACACATCGAGGCAGGGCTCTGAAAGGCGCCAAGGCACCAAACACTGAAAAGCCCAAAGAGGAAGTCGATGATGCAGCAGACACACAAGGCTGGGGGACGAACCCAGAGATCGCGAGTGGATCAAAAGGGATGGCCCCGAAGGAACCAGAACAGACGCTGCAACCAAACCCGATCAGTGGTTAAACAATCACAGTGAAGTTCAGACTTCTACACAGCTGCTCAAGCACCCCCCGAGTGACCTGGGGAACCCCCCCCCCCCCCTCAGAAACAGATAATGGCGAGACTGCAGCTGGTGCAATGCCGCCTGAGTGAGAGACAAAGAAACTGTCTGGGAATCCCAGACAATGCCCAGTCAAGTCTGAACCCGAGACAGAACCAGATGGGACTTCCTCCAGTTCACCAGAAACCCGAACCAAGCAAGCTGGGAAAGAACCAAACCCCTAACGAGCAGACACGCGGACTGGCTTGAAGCTCAGACCAACCAGTCGTCGAGGTAGGTCAAAACTCGAACGCCTAGGAGAAGTAGACGGGCCACCACGACTCGGGTAAGATGTGCGAAAACGAGAGGGTGCTAGATTCAGCCCGAAAGAAGGGCAACAAATGTGGTAAGCCGGGTGCCCCACCACGAAACCTAACCAGTCCCTGAACCCCGGATGAATAGGGACATGGCAATACACATCCCGGAAGTCCAGACATACCATTCAAGAGCAGCCGGACCTGGGACAGAATGGTCATCCGAAAGGAGGGGAAAGGAATCCAGGGATTCAGATGGGACAAGTCCAGAATGAACTGCAGATCTGCACAGTCCCATTTCGGCACTGGAAACAGGCGGGAAACCCACCTGAGGGACGAGCTCATTTCGACCACACCCAAGCACACCCACTCCAGGATGACTGGACAAAGCGAGGGGGGGGGGGGAGGAAAGCTGCCCCACCAGCCCAGAACACCAGAGGGGAAGGAGCAACCCACCACCACTGCAGGCTGGAGGACACGACCCGAAATGCACACAAATTATGGGACCTGGCAACAGCACGAGTCTCCTTCCCCCTCCTCCCCGTCAATGGGGCGACCTGCAAAAGGGCCGATGCCCCTTACAAGAAGTGGCTGACGAGCAAAGTAAGCATTACGCTGACCAGATGATGCCGGCTCAGAAACTGGCACCAAAGGCCCACCCCGACTGGAAGAACCCTGAGCCCCGCACGACCCTTCCGAGAAACCCTAGAAAGACCACCACGGAGAAGCAACAAATCCAACGTAGAACGGCAACTAGACGAGGTCACCTGCAGAAACTGTGTGACAGCAGAGTCTGCAAACAGCAATGGCCAAAAAGGCAATGAAAATCTAAGAGTTAGGGCCCAAGCAGATTCCAAGGAAAAAGCGAGCAAGGCCTGGCAACACACGAGGCAAGAGGCAAATGAGACACCACCTCCCTGAGAATCAGCACAAACAGCTTCAACAGCATGGCCAACGCCTTAGCCGCCAAGGCCAGCGCCCCAGATGAAGGCTCGGCACTCAACGCCTCCACATCCTCCCCCAAGCCAGTCCAAGGACAACTCAAGAATGGAAAAGTGCAATACTGAGGCCAAATACCTGCGAGCGCGCAAATCCTCAATCACCAAAGATGCCGAAAGGGTGGGAACCTGCACATGCAGCTACACAAAGCCAACATCCCAAGGAAACACAGGGGCAAAAAGGCAACTGTGCATTAAGGTGCTCTAATTCACCCCACAATTAAACCTGCACAACGGCAACAGCCTCCCGCCATTCAAGTGTGCGGGTCCGACAAAACCCATGCCACACTCCCTACGAAAAGAAAGGGCAGTCTGCAAGTCAGGAAGACTCCAGAACGTCATAATGCACCCAATACGGGGAAGAAGAGTTGTACTCAAAAGTGAATGGATCTATCAGAGGTATAGTCTGGGGTCTCGCAGGAGGTAAGCTGCAAGAGCCTCCCGAACCTTCTTGGGTGGGATTTGAGAGGTAGAAAACCTCCAGAAAGAGGAAGCTAAGGAACTCAAGGGAACCTGGGAAGAAGCCGACCCCAAATCAAACTCATACAGGGAACGGGGGCAAGAAAACATCCTTCCCCTGAACCAACAAACCCTGAGACGAGGGCACCAAAACCCAAGTGTGATCAAAAGGTGCCCAAGGCCCCTAGGGTGACTCCGCCCCAGCCTCCAAGCCAGACTTAGGGGCAAAGTCGTCTTCCACGCCCTCTACCCCTGAAGAAAAGGCAGAATCCAGAGGAAAAGCAGCAAAGAAGGGGGTCTGCTGGTAGGACCCAGATGTCTCAGCAGGAGGAGCAGGCTCAAATGCCACTGTCTCCGACTCGAATGGATCAGCCCCCCGAAGTCGTCCGAGTCTCATCACCAACTAAACCCTACCCCTGCTCCGAAACCCTCAGACATTTGAAAGCCGGGAGCAGGTGGGGGAAGGAAGAGCAGGATGAAAACAGCCAACCAGGGAAGGACTTGCAGGTGCGAACTGAACCAGAGTCGAAGCGACCAACACCCCCAAGTCCAGGCCCCCTAAAACCAAAACGGGGCAGCCTCAGGGCATCCGAGCTGGCAACCAACCTAGCGCGTTGCAGCAACCTTAACCTAGCATGCAACCTGGAAGTCGCCTGAACCCAAATCTCGGTTACAGTAGAATGGGTATACTAGAGCACGAGCAGAGAACACGTCTCACAAGACTCCGGGTCAAAGGTGTCGTTGAGCCAACAGGCAGCATGACGAAGGCAAAATTGGTGACTGCCACCCTGAGACAAGGGCACAGTCTCAGGCTCCCAGAACTGAAGGGCAAGAGCTACGAGGAGAAGTTAGAGGCATTAAATATGCCAAAACTAGAAGACAGAAGAAAAAGAGGTGATATGATCACTACATACAAAATAGTAACAGGAACTGATAAAATCAATAGGGAAGATTTCCTGAGACCTGGAACTTTAAGAACAAGAGGTCATAGATTTAAACTAGCTAAACACAGATGCCGAAGAAATATGAGAAAATTCACTTTCGCAAACAGAGTGGTAGACAGTTGGAACAAGTTAGGTGAGGTGGTGGTGGAGGCCAAGACCGTCAGTAGTTTCAAAGCGTTATATGACAAAGAGTGCTGGGAAGACAGAACACCACGAGCGTAGCTCTCATCCTGTAACTACACTTAGGTAATTACAGTACAACCTTCAAACTCGTACAAGACGAGGTAGGACTCTGAAGACACATCCATCAATCAACCAATCCTCGAGGGGATTTTCCAGGGCCAATAGGTAGTTTTGTCTTTGGGAAGCCCAGGCAAGGTGTTGCTAAGCTGGTGGAACCTGAATGAAAACAACAAGGGAGATGAGCTGTAAACTGGACCCTTATGACATGTACAAGCACAAGGAGCCTAGAGGAGGACCACAAAAATACCCTAGGTGGACTAATTGTCAAACAAGGCAGACACCCTCCAGGCAAGGAAGGAAAAAACCTGCAAGAGCACAATGCCACCAGAAGGACCAGGAACACCACCACTGTGTAGTAAGCATGCAATGCAGCACCCTGTGCCCCAACCATCAACAGCACCACTTCCTACCCAAGGCCAAACAAAGGCCATGAAACCCCAGCTGGCTCCATGGGCGGGGCAAATTGAGCCAGCAAGAATCCCTACGGAAGTAGAGTCCAGAATGATCTAGGAAAGGCAACCCTAAAACTCAAGGGTAGTACTTACAGGGTGTTAAGGGAAGGCAGCCCTTAGAGCATGCAGCCCCTGTACACTGAAGTTACCCCTGGCCACCGCACCACAAAGAGCAGAAAACACCATAAAAGCACTACTTCCGCCAAGAAATCAAGGCCAGTGTTGACGACCTCCCAGAAGAACTGAGGTGCGAGTAGCCGGCATGGGGCTCCCCCTTCACCGGGAAGGGGGAGCCTTTACAGTGTCACTGTGCAGACAAGTGACATGGCGGCAATGAATGATGATTGCTTGTTTCCTTATATTTTGGTGGAAGTTCTGTCTCTGTTCGGTCTTCGGTTGCAATTTCTTACCAAGTGGGGTTCATTTTGTTATGTCTACCTTTCTGGGTGCCAAACCCAGGTCGATGGCAGACATGGAATGCTCCCAAATACATAGGAGTTTCCATAGCCATTTTTCCCTGTGCCTCTCTGAGGGAGCCAGGTTCTGGCTCGTGGTCGCCAGTAGGCAGAACTCCATTGACTGATGCCCCAGACTAATATAGCGTATATCAGTCCGATAGCTCCAGGGAGCCGGAGGGGCTCCCCACAGAAAATGTCCATTTTGGAAAATGGGGAATACCGGACTTACACTAAAAACTTGGGAAATTACCCAAGATATTCTTGTCACTATTTTACCCCAAAACAAAACATTGAAGTAAAATTCTCTGAACTTAAATTTTTTTAATGCTGGACTAATATGGGATCATTGCTTGAGAAGTCCCATTACTTTCTAAAGCAATCATAACTATTATATGACCAAAACAGATTCTTCCTTATTTCATCCAGCTTTGCAGTAGGCTGGGTTCCATTCAAGCATGAGTCCACTGCACATGCAAAAATACTAAAAACAATTACACCAACAAAAGGAAATTATTGAAATGATTAAGTTAACACTAACAAAGTATGTAGAATACAGAGTATCAAAACAAAAGATTCAAACAATGAAATATCACAAAAGTAAAACAAACAAATGTGTTGATAATGTATGTTGTATATTTTCATCTACCAAAATAAATAAATAAAAGTTAAAGCATACAAAATTTTGAATTATAGTATATAAATCTGCCTATAAAACCAATCATTACCCTTCTTCCAACACAAAATTGTTAAACAACACTCTGGCCTTACAGACCAATTGCTGGGCTACAATACTTTTTCATCCTCAGGTGTTCTTATGGTGTCAACTGTTTACATTGTTTGCCTTTTGTTTCACTAGAGCCTGTATCTTACTGTAGTGCTTGTATCTGCCTCTGACATCTTCCTACACAGTCTGGTCTCCAGGTCAGTTATTTCACCTGTATGAAATAACTGGCAATACACTAACATTCTGCAAGACATGTTCACTATGCTGAATACTCGGCAAGTATCCAAGCAAGATTTTACTGGAGGAAACTCCTTCAAGGAGAGTTTTTCTAAAGGAAACACAGCATCAAGGAATATGTATGTATAGATTTATTCCTGCAGCCAAGAGATCTGATGTAGTGTATAAATTGTACAAGAACCAGCTTGTATAATTATCTATGCAAGATGTTATACACTATTTTTAGGGAAAAAAATTAATGTATCAGTCTTTTTCACATTCTTGAATGAGCTCTCCACATGCCCTATCTGTACCATGTAAGTTTCATATTACCTTTATTGCTAAATACTAATTTATAGATTTTGGTATATGGCACACATTACTCAAATTTCATCATTTTATTAAGTACCCTAAATAATATAACTTACAAATAATTTATACAGAAGTTGCACAACATTGGTGTGTGCATACATACCATTGCCATGCATGATATTACATGTAACTCCACTTACATGTTTTATGATGAAATATAATCAACTGAAGACCATGGTAGGATGTACCATGTAGAAACCTAGATAAGAGTTTTATTTCAAACATGAAAACCACCCATTAGGAATGATACCCTAATATATGACAGTAAATCATGCTAAGGAAACATATGATATCTAAAATACCATCGTTTCAAAATAAAATTAAAGAACTTTAACATGGAAAAAGGATCATGAACATAAAATAAATTAAAAAAAATATCCAGCAGAATATTTCCCCACACAGTTGCTGGCTTTATGTCATCCAATTTGTTTCAATCATTGTAATAGTAGACCAAAAACACAGTGAAATGAGAACGACACTCATATTTAAAACAAAATGGAAAACTAAAAAACTAAATTGAAGAGTCAACGATAATTATCGTTTCAAATCAAAGAGGATTTCATTTTAATAATCAAGAGTCACTGCTAGTGAACCATTTGGCTAAGATGATTATAGCCAGATTACATATACTTTCAATTTAAATCAAAATAGAAAAAGTATTTTTAATGTTTACAAACCTGGGTGCGTGACAGTTGGTACCTACAATATCTAAATTTCAACAATACTCCCCAGGATTCATCTCATGTAGGTACAACCCAAAGAAATGCCCATAAAACTGGCACACAGTCCGAGGAAGCCATAAAATTATAATCTAGTCAACAGTTCCCTACATCCATTGATGTCACATGTTTGGATCCACAGTAAGTAATAAAAGTCCCTCCTCATCCTCCCTCATGACAAATCCAACCCACACATGATAAAACAAAAGCAAGCAAAGAAATTCGTAAGTTAGTCTACACAAATTCAATTAAATTAGCCAAAGTGTAAGAATTCACCTCTAATCCAAGGTTTCCTGGTCACATGGTAAACCCCTTATCTTAAGAAATGGACGCAATATAGAACAGCAATATTTCACAGCTTATCTCATTCTCTACTGGAAACCTGGACAGAAGGAATGAATAAGTTGTACAAAAATACTGTACAAGCAAATATCATTTGTGCAATTCTTCATTAAATTAACACCCTTAACCCTACACTACAGTGAAGGTGGAAGGGTTATATGTATGACCACATACCCTTAACCCTACACTACAGTGAAGGTGGAAGGGCTGTATGTATGACCACATACCCTTAACCCTACACTACAGTGAAGGTGGAAGGGTTGTATGTATGACCACGTACCCTTAACCCTACACTACAATGAAGGTAGAAGGGTTGTATGTATGACCACATACCCTTAACCCTACACTACAGTGAAGGTAGAAGGGTTGTATGTATGACCACATACCCTTAACCCTACACTACAGTGAAGGTGGAAGGGTTATATGTATGACCACGTACCCTTAACCCTACACTACAGTGAAGGTGGAAGGGTTGTATGTATGACCACGTACCCTTAACCCTACACAACAGTGAAGGTGGAAGGGTTGTATGTATGACCACATACCCTTAACCTTACACTACAGTGAAGGTAGAAGGGTTGTATGACCACATACCCTTAACCCTACACTACAGTGAAGGTAGAAGGGTTGTATGACCACGTACCCTTAACCCTACACTACAGTGAAGGTAGAAGGGTTGTATGACCATATACCCTTAACCTAACACTACAGTGAAGGTGGAAGGGCTGTATGACCACATACCCGTAACCCTACACTACAGTGAAGGTGGAAGGGCTGTATGACCACGTACCATTAACCCTACACTACAGTGAAGGGGAAAGGGTTGTATGTATGACCACGTACCATTAACCCTACACTACAGTGAAGGGGAAAGGGTTGTATGACCACATACCCGTAACCCTACACTACAGTGAAGGTGGAAGGGCTGTATGACCACATACCCGTAACCCTACACTACAGTGAAGGTGGAAGGGTTGTATGACCACATACCCGTAACCCTACACTACAGTGAAGGTGGAAGGGCTGTATGTATGACCACATTCAACTTAACAAGTGCATTTTTTTCTGTGTGTTCAAGGACAATACAATTTATTTCTTGAAAAGCCTAAGAACAAATGCACTTAGAAATGCTGGTAAAAACCTTAATTTATTCACCATTACCAGTCAATAAAAGCTAAGATGTGTACATACCACACAACTTGGATCCCAAGAAAGACTTTTAAAGCCTCTGTTTGAAAGAACAAAGCAATCTTTGGTTAATTTATCACTTACACTTAAAAGAAAGAAACAGGAGGCTCACGAGTTTCCTGGCACCAGTAGATGTCTGAGCACCACAAAGACTAGTCAAATAATGGCATAGTATCCCCACCTTCTGCTCACCGACACATCCCTAGCCAAATTCGGCACAAATCTTTTACACTAAATAATTAAGAAAAAGTCTGATAGTCTAAAATAAATGTCAAATAAATAAAATTCACCAAATCACTTCTTACCTTTCAAGAATATAAAATCTAATACTCCTCATTTACCTAATACTGTCATTCATTTGGCCTCTAATATTTTGTCTCATAATACTGGAATATTTACAACTTTAAAAAGCCATCTTTTATCACTACCATCTGAATACTGATCAATACCATTTGCATTATGTTAGAACAGAGGTACTGGGATACAAAAGAACATCCTCAAAACACTCATTCCGCTCTGGAAAAATTAAAGATCAAAATAAATAAAATAATAATACATTCATCACAGTTTACAGAGACAAAACAGAATGGGTATAGCAGCACCTATGGCAACAAATACAGGAAGCATGGAGCTGGTGTCGTCTGAAGCATAGGGGTCAGGTGTACGGGGTCCACTGGGACGGCGCTTCGTAGTCGGAGACTGTTTGTTGTTCTGGTTATTATTGTTCTGCAGGTTGGCACTTGGCCGGGGTTCTTCTATATCACTGTCCAGATCCTCTTCCCTAGGCAAAGGTGGCAGCTTGGGAACATCTGCATGAATACTAACAATTAACAAGGAACAAGTATAATTCAGAACATTACTTTAAATTATTCCAAACACAGCAACCAACTGCCCTCCAAATAATTAACAATATTCTGCATTTCTCTTTTAGGCACAGTAAACACACACTGGTTCAGACTCCAGCAACTAATCTCTGTATACAGATATATATATATATAACAGGAAGTCCCTGTTTACAATGCCCACCACACAAACACTCGTCCATCCAAATGGTCTCAAGTCCCCATTTATGCATCAATTCACTTTCTGAACCCACTACCCTGGAAACACAAACCGTAACTGTCTCTATTTTCCGCTTGTTACAACTTGTAATAACGTTGTTACATCTTGGCTTAACGTGTTTATGACGTATTAGAACGTTGTTACAACTTGCTATATTGGTTGTTATAACTGGTTAGGTGTTAATACTTGTTCGAACGTTGTACCAACGTCGTAGTTTTGGTGTGTGTGTGGCGGGTATGCCATCCACTCTTATGAGCAGTGTTACTAAAATGTCCGTACAGCCAAGGGGTGGTGTAGGATGGTATAAAAATGTATGCATGGCCCTCTAGGAGAGAGATAGTGTATGGTCATATAATGCACAAGACGGATCGACAAAACTTGTTTCTCGATTGTCAAACCATATTAATTAAAGTTAGGTTAAAATGTGTTAACTTAGATTAGGCTGTGTTAGGCTCATCTGGGTTTGTTTGGGTTATATTATAATGGGTTTGTTTGGGTTAAGTTAGGTTTGGCAAGTGGAGGCAAGTTTAAAAGTAGGCCAACTCAGCCTTGGCAATGTGGATGTGAAGGCAGAACTCTGCACTCTATGAGAAGCTCGCAAACTGCCAGTGCGCCCACCAAAGTCGATCATGTCCCGAGTTACAACAGGAGCATCCCAAGACACTCGACTCACCCCAGGCGAGCCCTACCCCAAGTGAGAAGACCTCCAAGAGAACAACTCCCTAACACTCCAGGATAGATAACCCTGGCAATATAAGAGCAGCATTACAGGAGCACACAGGATAGATAACCCTGGCAATATAAGAGCAGCATTACAGGAGCACACAGGGAAGGTAACCCTGGCAATATAAGAGCAGCATTACAGGAGCACACAGGGAAGGTAACCCTGGCAATATAAGAGCAGCATTACAGGAGCACACAGGGAAGGTAACCCTGGCAATATAAGAGCAGCATTACAGGAGCACACAGGGAAGGTAACCCTGGCAATACAAGAGCAGAATTACAGGAGCACACAGGGAAGGTAACCCTGGCAATATAAGAGCAGCATTACAGGAGCACACAGGGAAGGTAACCCTGGCAATATAAGAGCAGCATTACAGGAGCACACAGGGAAGGTAACCCTGGCAATATAAGAGCAGAATTACAGGAGCACACAGGGAAGGTAACCATGTGCGCATGCAGCTCCAAGCACCCTCAAAACTAGGCTCACAATACACAACAGTGTACAGGAAAAGGGGCAAAAGGGCACCAAGGGCAAACACCACACTAAGCTGAAAATCTGGACACCAGAGCCAGCACAGAAGATAGGTGACCTGTTACCCACTACATCAGCTATAGAACAGTGGCCGAGATGATGGCAGGCGAACAAGCTTTTGCTAGTTCCGAGAGGTTACCTTGTGATTACCTTACCTAGTGCTGATTCTGAGGGTCAAGGTCCCCCATGGTCCAGTCCCTGACACCAGGCCTAGTTGATGGTCTGGTCAGCCAGGCTGTAGTAAAGTTTTTGTATTTACTACAAAAACAAAGAAAAAAAAATGGCCAACCTACTCATGAAAAACTCCCCAGACTCCAAACAGAACGCCTTGAAGGAAACCAATGTCGTCTATGCTTTCACATACCCGCTTTGGAACTGTAAGCCCCAAAGCGGGCATGAACTCAGTATATAGGCAAGACAACAACGTCTCTTTCTAGGCAATTAACAATGCACAAACAACAGGGCTCCATCAAGGAACATATAATCTCTTCTTATAACCAGACCATCACCAGAGAAATCTTAACACTTTCTCTCTACGATGATGCTTATATGCGGCATAAGTTTTTCTCCTTAATGTGAGCCGATGACAATCGCACGTCATCCATTAAAATATTTATAAAAAATTAACACTATCGCTGGCGCCATGTGCGTTCGGCAAACTTTGACGTCATGGAGCCAATGGTGCGGGCGAGCGTGCGGCGACACCTAAATGTGTACACTCATTTCAGTTTTCTCACCTTAATTCTTGTGCTACGTCATTCCTTTTGGTATCATTGTGTTCGCAATTAAATTTCCTGCAGATGTATATGCATATACTGTAATGTCCAATAGCCTGGCAAGACTCCCCACAGCAAAGCCTAAAGTCGGAAAAGTTACCCGTGAACGCACAAAATCAGTAAAATGTTTATACTCGTTTCAGTTTTCTCACCTTAATTCTCGTGCTATGTCGTTCGATTTGGTATCATTTTCTTCGCAAATGAATTCCCTGCAGGTGTATATGAATATAATGTACAAAAGCCTGGCATGCCTCCACGCAGAAAAGCCTAAAGTTTTCTGTAAACGAGCACCAATTTGTACACTGCAACCTTATGTGTATACTCGTTCAGTTTGATAACATCAATTTTCGTGTTGCGTCTTTCATTTTGGTATCAAATTGTTCACAATAAAAAGGTGCGTACTTTAAAACTAGGCCCATAATAATAGAGCAATAACTGGAATTTTAACAAATATTTTAATTCTGGAAGCTCATCATCATAATTATTTATATCTTTCCAGTGTTCTGACATCAATTTTTGTGTTACATCTTTCATTTTGGTATCAAACTGTTCGTGACGTAAAGGCGCGCATTTTAAAACTAGTCCCAACATAATAGCACAATAAATAGAATTTTAACAAATATTTTAAAATTTTGACCAAAAACCTATTTATAATCATATAAGTGTTCGGACATCAAGTTTCATGTTACATCTTTCATTTTGGTATCAAATTGTGCGCATTCTAAAGGGGCTTATTTTGATACTATCCCGAGGTCGACTGGATAAAAAATGAATTTTATACAAATATTTTTGTAGTGGACACAAGTCCGGTCCAAAGTTAGGACTCGGGAGAAAAATAATGGACGCGAGTCCGGTCCAAAGAGACCGATAGTGTTAAATTGTCATCCGAGCAACTTCTAGGTGGTTTCAAAATGAGCACCTTTAGATTGCACACAATTTGATACCAAAATGAAAGACGTAACATGAAAATTGATGTCAGAACATTGGAATGATATAAATAATTTTGTTACGATAAGCGTCAAAAAGTGTTCAAAAGTTAAAATATTTATTAAAATTCCATTTATTGCTCTATTATTATGGGACTAGTTATAAAATACGCGCCTTTAGGTTGCGCACAATTTGATACCAAAATGAAGGACGTAGCACGAAAATTTATGTTATCAGACTGAACGAGTATATACATTAGTCTGCAGGTGTGCCAATTGGTGCTCATTCACGGGTAACTTGACTGACTTTAGGCTTTGCTGTGGGGAGTCATGCCGGGCTTTTAGACCTTATATGCATTCTATAGAGAATTCTATTGCGAATACAATGATACCAAAAACGAACGATATAGCACGAGAAATAAGGTGAGAAAACTGAGACGAGTACATATATACATTTTACTGATTTTGCGTGCTCACAGTTAACTTTGCCGACTTCAGTCTTTATACTTTGTTATTGGTATTGCTTATATATATTGCAGTTGTTATTGCTTATATTTGTCTTTCAATTTAGAGCATTTTATTGTGAATAATTTGATACCACAATGAACAATGTTGCACAAAAACTTCTGTTAGCAAACTGTATGTGTTTGTCTGATGTATTGGGTGTAGTGGGTGTGGCAATGAGTGTGCTCTAGCGGGTAAGGCTTTGGCCACTTTAGGGGTTGTTGCAGGTTATGCGCCCCCATGTTGTCTAATTTATATGCATATGTCTGTGTAGGAAATTTTAATGCGATCACAGTGATACAAAGCAGAACAATGTCGAACAAGTCTCCGTGGTGTAGTGGTAAGACACTCGCCTGGCGTTCCGCGAGCGCTATGTCATGGGTTCGTATCCTGGCCGGGGAGGATTTACTGGGCGCAATTCCTTAACTGTAGCCTCTGTTTAACGCAACAGTAAAATGTGTACAGTACTTGGATGAAAAAACGATTCTTCGCGGCAGGGAATCGTATTCCAGGGACCTGCCCGAAACGCTACGCGTACTAGTGGCTGTACAAGAATGTAACAACTCTTGTATATATCACAAAAAAAAAAAAAAAAAAAAAAAAAAGTTTGGACTTAATAAACCTGAAAAGAGTAGCAACCATGTTCGTGCTGTTTGGAATGCACTGCTAACAAACGACTTAGTTTTTTATTTGGTGCCAGCATCACGTTAGCTTTAGTGACATGTTATACATATGTTCCTCTAGAACATTTCATTGAGAACACATTGATACTAAAATGAAACACTTACATCAAAAATTACGGTCAAAAACAAGAAAAAGAGTATAAACTTTTCAGTATGGGTGTAGCCGATGTGCAGTTGAGTGTGCAGTAGCGGGTAACCCTTGGGCAACTTCCCACGGTCTTGCGGGTGGGGCGCGCCCATATTTTGTACTTTATATTCATGTCTGTGTACGGAATTTTATTGCGGTCACAGTGATACATACACACACACACACACACGACTTAAGAACTTACTGAGAACAGCGAGAACAGAACAGAACAGCGTTCAGGAACCTGTGTTAGGAATCATTCAGAATCTTGTACACCACATATGTAAGACCAATCCTGGAGTATGTGGCCCCAGCATGGAGCCCGTACCTTGTCAAGCACAAGACGAAGCTGGAAAAAGTCCAAAGGTATGCCACTAGACTATTCCCAGAACTAAGAGGCATGAGTTACGAGGAAAGGCTACGGGAAATGCACCTTACGACACTGGAAGACAGAGGAGTATAGGGAGATATGATCA